GGTTGACCTTCAGTGTTACATTGACCTTTGTGCTACAGTGACCAAAATTTAATCCACTAGTCTTTTGGGGTACACCGAATCTTTATACGAAAGTTGATCAAAACCAGATAAAAGATTTTGAGTTATACTCTTCACACATTCAACACAGGAGTGAAAACAATACCTTTTCCTTCGGACAGGGGTAAAATTTTAGAAGTTGGCTGTTTTTTGCGGAAGGAAATGCGTTTCTATAACACATATTCTGTTTACTTTTCAATACGTAATCTTTTAAGGCCTGCAAACCGAAAGCAGCTGTTTTCTCTTAAGCCTATTTTGTTTGCTGGATTTATTCTTCTATAACGATAACACGGGGAATAAATTGTATCTAAGTTTTTGTTGCATCGTTCTAGCAGAAAAAGTATTTGTCCTTAGACATCCAGCAAAGACTTAACCAGGATCACTATCGTATGCTCGTGCTTGTCTGTACGGCACTTTGTGAGTCGAGAAAAAAATACAAAATCCATACACGTTTCTTGGTCTTCACGAACGTGCTCACCATCCATAAAATTGACAATGTCTTCAGAACGTCATATTCTTTCTCATCACGAAGCTCACGTATGCGATCGTAGTTCTTTCATCTGCCATATTTAATTCTAATTGCAAATTGTTTTATTTAGACAACCAGGAAGTTAATATGTTTATTATTGCAGTTACTAGCAAAGCAAGTAAAACTGAGTATTCAATAAAACATTGAATGTTTTATCCAATCATTATATTAGTATGAAATGAAATTTCTTATAACATTTCGGTACGTATTCACGACAACAGATGTAAAGACGTTCGTAATGTAAAGTGGGTGCTCTTAAATTTATCGTCTTAAAATCATTCACAGTTCAGTGAACATGCCACTGAAGTCACTTAACTCACATTTATTTGAGTGACATAATAAAAAGCTTTGATAACTAAGACGAGTAACTTACTTTAATATATATATATATATATAGTAAGTCATTCACAGCTCAGTGAACATACCACTGAAGTCACTTAAATCACATTTATTTAACAGACTTATTAAGAAGCTTTGATAACTAAGTAAGTAACTTACTTTAATATATATATATATAGTAAGTTATTCACTACACAGTGAACATGCTACTGGAGTCATTTAATCATGTATATTTGACTGACATAATAAGAAGCTTTGATAACTAAAACGAATAACTTATTTTAATATATATATAGTATTACCGATATTGTATCTTATTGTTAAACAGAAAATCCGTAAAAAAGTATAGCAAGATATTAAACTATTTCTATGGTAATCATGAGCCCCCACAGTTGGTAGACGGGAAGTTTACGGACTTGCAAGTCTAAAATCCGTGGTTCGATTCCCGTGGTGGACAGGGAACAGATAACCTATTGCGTAGTTTAGTACCAAAACAAACAAAAAACCTATACAGGTTTGATTTTTTGTTTGTAAAATATCTTTAATTACACAAACGAGGACAACAAAGTTTACTGATAAGACAATATAATTCCAGTCAATTAACTATCATTATCGGAACTAAATATTTTTTGAGAAATTGCAATATCAATATTGGATTATAAGTAAGTTAGATATTTCGTTGTAACCGGCTTAAACTTTTGTAAATAAACCAATCCATTTTATAATATTCACTTTTTTATTGATAGGTTAAATAGAAACGTTACCTTTTCGTAAACAACATATCTAGGACACAAGTAAAACTAATCCAAAATATCGAATTCTAAAAAGAAAATATTATGATTTCAGAAGGAAAAAAAAACATATTATGATTTCAGGAGAAAAAAAAGTAATTATTGCAATTTGTTTATTTTAGCGCAAAGCCAGACAAGAAGCTAAATGCTTTCTCTCCACTAGGGGGAATTGAACCCCGGATTTTAGCGTTGCAAGCTCGTGAAATTACCACAGACCCAGCGTGAGATAATTCTTGCTATAATTTTCTAAAGTTAGGCTCAGACTTACAGTTATAAGATTTAAAGTAATCCTTAACTCAACAACATTCTCAGGCTGTATCTGAATCCAATGAAACTTTTGAGATGAAGTGTGTTTGAATTTGTTAATACCTACCCGACACCAATGTATCGTAGTTACACTTATCTTTTCCTCTTAAATTTTATTTTTTTATTATTATTACAAACAGATAAATAATCTATTTAGTTAAATCCCCATAACAAAATATTAAAGGTAATTTATGTATTTAATTTATTATCACACATATTTCTCACCTTCTTAATCCACACACATTTTCCTCTTCTAAACATGCATATCCCCATTTATTTTCACATTAGTTAAACAGTAAAGCATAAGTCTACCTTATCAGTCAGAAAAAGAATATTAATGTTATACGATTGTCACTGCGCTTTTTTATATATCTTTTAACCAAGTGTCCTAACTATGTTGAACTTATAAGGTGCTTATAGTCTTGGTATTTTGTGTACGATACTCATTCATATCAATATAATCTAAAAAAAGGACTTTCTTTAAGCTATTTTTGTGATAAATAAACATAAATTATCGTTTTAAACTATGATTGCAGCGTAGGTCACTTGGTTTAAGAATATATATATATATATATATATATA